TCAAAAAGAGGACATGGAATGAGATCAGACTTCCTAAGAAAAACCTCTAGTAACCAGAAGACACTAGAAAAATGCTTTCAAATTCTAAGGGAAAAAAAATTATTTTCAATCTAGATTTCTATAGCAAGCCAAACAACTATTAATCAACTGAGAGATAAAACAAACAGCAACAGCCAAACCTCACCTCCCACACCTCCTTTCTTAGGAGACATAATGATATGAATAACAAATCCTTATTTAACTAATTCACTGTTCTAAGCATCTTACATACAGTAAGCCACTCAATCCTTACAGCAATCCTGTGAAGTAAATATCACTAAGAAGAAGTTGAGGCACAGAGGGGCGAAAGACCTGGCCCGTGGTCACCCCACCCAGTGATGGGGAGATGGGGTGTGGCTCCCAGCAGACTGGTTTCAGAATGAGGGCTCTATCTCCCTGCTACTCTGCCCCTCACAAACATGGCGGCGAGAAAATACAGGTAATCAAAGTACACCATGTGGCCAAGCTGTGAGTAATAATCATATGGTCCTAATAACAGAAAATTCAGATACTGATTTAACAAAAGTTATAATACAGAGAAAGATGAGTACTGTAGAATCTCACTTACAGGTGGAACCTAAAAACAAGAACTAAACTCAGAAAAAGAGATCAGATTTATGGTTTACAGAGGTGGGGGCTGGGAGGCAGTGGAAATCAGGTGATGATGGTCTAAGATCCAAACTTCCAGTTGTAAGAGAAATATGTCCTGGGATGTAATGTACAAGATGACAGAGTGAACGCTGCTATATGGTATATTCAAAAGTTGCTAAGAGAGTGTTTCCTAAAAGTTCTCATCACAAGGGAAAACATTTTTTTTGTTAACTATATGAAGGGATGGATGTTCACTAAACTTACGTGGTAATCATTTCACAATACACACGTGTGTGAGGTCATGCTATCACAGCTTAAATTTATACAGTGTTGGGTGCCAATTATAGCAATAAAATGAAAAAAAGGGGAAAAGTTACTGTATTTTGGTATGTGTGGAGACTGTGTGTGAATGTGTGTGTTGTAAATAGACTCAAATTCTCATCTTTCATCGTACAAGTGAATAGATAATATCTCAAAGTAAAAAATCAAGCCAGATTCATCTCCACCTACATATGGAAGGCACTCAGTAATGTTTGTGAATGGATGAATAAATACTGTTCTGTCCCTATTTCAAATCTTCATGTATACATTTACATAGCCCTGTCGTAGAAAGACTGGAAAAATAGCTTTATTCTTTTTTTGTTTTTGATGGGGGGGAGGTAATTAGGTTTATTTACTTACTTATTCTTAGAGACTGGGGATTGAACTCAGAACCTCATGCATGTGCTCTATACCATTTGAGCTATACCCTCCTGCTGGAAAAATAGCTTTTATCTACCTCTGATGTGCTATATATGTCATGGAGAAATGACTATGATAAGTTTATGTAAAAAGTAACAAATTGCAGAACAGCATGATACTACATTTACATTTTTTTAGTGGGGGAAGGTAATTGGGTTTATTTATTTACTTACTATTTTTAGGGGAGGTACTGGGGATTGAAACTGGGACCTCCTGCATGCTAAGCATGCGCTCTACCACTTGAGCTATACCCCCACCCTTCCAATTCCATTTTTGAATGGATAGAATATGCACGTATGTAGGTATAACTTACAAACACATAGGATTATGTATGTAGAATAAAGTATCTGCAGGGATAGTCCAAGGTGCTACCAGTGAGGACTAAGAATGGAAAGAAGGAAATATTTTACTTGATATGCTGTCATATTTTTTAAATGTTTGTAATGGATATTTCTTGTTTTAATAATTAAAAGCAAACATTTACAATTTATTTAGATTTTCACCAAACACACACACCCATACCTACACACACAAAAGGTTATTCAGATCATGTCATTTCCCTGCTCAAAACCCTCCAGTGGCTTCCCATCAGGTGGGGGTAAAATCCACACTCCTGCCATGACCTTCAGGCCCTGTGTGATCTGCCCGCTGCAGACACTAGGCTTCAGTTTATTTCTGCCGCCTGGGCTCACCGGCCACTCTGGTCCTCGGCTGAGCTCCCCTGTGCTCTTGGCACCGCTGTTCTCTCTCTGCCCGGAACACCTGCCCCACCTGCCTTTTCGTGCACATTCCTTCCCTGCACTCAGATTTCCACTCAACTGCCACCTCCTCAGAGGCCTTCCCTGGTCTCCCAAATTACAGTAGCCCCTCCCCAGAGACACTCCGAATCACGTTACTCTGCTCTCCACAGGACTTATGGTGCATGTCTGTCAATTTGACTGTTCACTGGCTCTCTCCCGCACTGGACTTAAGCTCTATGAGAGCAGTGGCCTTGCCTGGCCTGCTCATCATGGAGCCTCCAGGGCCTAGATCAGTACCTGGTACATGGCATATGGTCAGAGGCTATTTGATGGATGGACCAATGAGGGGATGATTGGGCAAGTGGGTTGGATAAGTGTCAGAAGGATGGGTGGGTGGATGGGGGTGGCTGGGGGGGAGGGGAGGGGATGCTTGGGTGAGTGGGTGGCTGTCTGTCATCAGCTGGGTCACTGGGAAATGACCCCGTTGATCTGTCACAGAGCCTTCTATGCTTCTCCACTCTTCCGGCTGCTTTATCCCCTTGCCTCAGGGGATGCAGTAAAACTCACATACCGTGTTCCAAAGTTTACTGGGCCTCATACTCAGTACCTTACCTCATATATGACATGCGTTACCTCATTTAATCATTGCAACTCTGTGTATTTAGTGTTTTCATGCTCTCAGTTTTATACATGAGGAAACAGGCTCAGAGAGGTTAAGTCACTTGCTCCAAGGTTACACTCTGGTGAGTGATGGAGCGAGGACTAGACCAAGGTCTGGCCCCAGTGCCTTTTCAGTAAGCCTCACTACCTAAAAATACAGACGCAGAGGACATGCAGGAACTGGTGGGAGACTGTGGGGGGTGTCTCTACTCGTGAGTCTTCAGCAATACCTTCCAACAGGTATAGAGAAGGGACAGAACAGATGTCCAGATGGGCAATGACGTCATTGGGGCGGGGAGGTTGCCTCATAGGGACAAGGACCCCTGGGGATACTGGAGGAGTCTCTGAAGGAATCAGGCCTTTATGACCCACATGGGGAGCTCAGGCATCCAGTCAGGAGTCATTCCGAGAGCCCCCGCCCAAGGTATCAGGGATCTGCCTGGGCATTGAGCCAGGAAAGCACAGGCTTTCTCTCAAGTACTCAGTCCATCAGCTAGCCCCAGGCCTACCTGGTTTCTAGATATATGAACATCACCCCAATATTACAGGAGGGGAAACTGAGGCTTCAAAAGACCCAAAGGAAATGCACTCACACCCAGTGAAACTGAGAAGGGGTCAGGCCAGAGGAGAAAGTGTCCCTCATGCTGGAAGGGGTTGCTGGCCGGGCTAAGCTAGCTGGGACCTAAGCCATCCTGTTGCCTGAGCCACCAGGGGGCGCCAGTCCTCAAGCCGGGAGGGGCTTGAACTGCTTGCTGGTCTCTGGTCAGGGAGGCCCAGGCCTTCATCCTGGCTGGGGGAGCTGGGCATAGAGTTGGATGAGGGAGACTTTCTCTCTAAATTGTCTGTATTTTCCACAGAAAGGATGTATTTCTTGTAGAACTATAAATAAGCTTAAAAGGATGAAAAAGAAGATATTTTAAAAGCCTTTCTAGCCCTGGGGTTCTGAAAGAAGCCTGGAGACACGTCCGCCACCTACTCCCAAGACGAGGCTTCCAGGTATAGTCTTTAGAATGGCTGTCAGCTGTGAGCTCCAGGTGAAGCTATTCACAAGTTTTGGCATCTGGATATGAGAGTAAATAAAAACTCACCACATATGGCCTCTCTGGGTGTGGCCATCAGGTTTAAATGTGCCAGCAGAATGAAGCTACAGGCCCCCAGGTGTGGCCTTCAGGAGTGCAACCTTCCTCAGCTGTGGCACACAGCATGTCTGTCCCTTTGAGGCTGCAGACACTCTGGTGTCCAGCCTGCCTCGGTCTCAGACCCCCTGGAGAACCCCCCAGTGAAGACCCATGAACTGGGCCACCTCACCTTTGGACCAGGGATATCCCATCCATATGCCAAGATCCAATTCAAGTGGCCTCTCTCAGCCCGCTGCCCAGGTCCCAGGCACTGAATGCCTCTCTCTCCTCCCCTGAATTTGCTTCAGGATCGAGGCTGGGCCTTGGGGTGGCAGTTAGACCCAGACAGAAAAAGCCCCTGCCCTTGGCCCCATCCCATCAGCACCCCTAGCGAACTGGGGGCTTCAGCCCCTGCTGAATGAGGAGGTCCTGAGAGACTCCTTTAGCTCAGCAGTTCTCAAATAGGGGTGATTCTTCCCCTACAGGGGACATTTGGGAGTGCTGGGGACATTTTTGGTTGTCATGATCTAGTGGGTAGAAGCCAGGGATCCTACTAACATTCTCCAACACACAAGACAGGCCTCATGTGGAATTACCCCGCCCGAAATGTCAATGGAGAAACGTAGCTAGGCACACACAGCAGGGAGCGGGGCTGCACCAACAGGAGATCAGGGTAAGGGGGTGACAGGAATGGAGAGGAAGAGGGACACTGAGGGGGTGGGGGGAGGACTCACTGGACCTGGAGCAGAGAGCTGGGATCCACTGACCAACCGGGCTGCCTTGTACAAGTCCTACAGCCCGCTTAGCCTGTTTCCTCGTTTGCAAAATGGCCAAAAGGATTGGACATGGAGATAAATGTGAAAGAAGCTAACCCCGTGCCTTGGAACACCAGAGATGTTTCATAATGCCAGCTGGGGGGGTGTGGGGGTGCAGGAGTGTTGGGGTTTAGGGTAGCGAATTCACATTCCCAAGAGTTAGCTGGATCTGATTCTCAGAATTCCAAAGAAGCCCTGGAAACATGTCTTCTTTTTCCCCTCTTCCCAGAACAAGCAGTTCCTCCGGTGTGCAGGCCAGCTGGGGAATTGGGGGCAGGGCCGGGCCCTGTACTCACCGCTGTGGCTTTCTCCATCACTGCTGAGATAGGGGTAATATTCGTGCGTTTGGCGTTGGTACAGATCCGTGTCATAGGGAACCAGGTCTTCCGATGGCTGCTGAGAGAGGAGGATGTCGGGCCTCGGACTGTGGCGAGGAGATCCCAGCCAGGTTGGCAGCCCCCCAGGATGTGGGGTCCACACCACCCTCCCAGACAGAGCGCCTGCCCCAGGCCTACAGCCCTCTCTCTGCCTGGAACTGGGAGAGGCCACACAGAGTGGGAGCAGGGGGGCCAGGAGAGCAAGAGCCTTGGCTCTTGCAGAAAGGGGATGACAGGGACCCTGGAGGTCAGAGGTCAGAAGAGGACCAGGGCTGAGGGAGCCATGCTCCCCACAGTCACCTGACACACACATTCCACTGCGTGCCCAGCCCCAGCCTCACATAGTTGCCCTCTCACAGTCCCACTGATGTACCTACACCCCCCAAACACACACATACTCCCCATGACACACTTATACCCTACCCCCACAGTGAACACACTCACAGGTCCACTCACACCCCTCACACTCACTCTAGGGGTCACTCACATTGACACACACTTATGTCACACACACACCATTATATACCCACCTGTAGCCACACGCAGTCACTCGGATGAACACACGTATCCGCACACTTGCCTCCAGATACATTAACACACACATTTATACTTGTATCCTGCACATTCATCCTCACAGCACACACACTTGTCCTCCTGCCACAGTCTCCACCCCAAACCCCCACTCTCTCTTACAGCTGGTGCCTGGGCCCCAGGCAGGCTCAGGGCCCCCACAATGACCAGTGGCCGTTTACACTGATGAATTTTACAGGATTCACCCAGGCAGGCTTTGGGGGCTGTGGGCCGGCCAGAGCCTTGATCCTCACCCTCCTCTCCCTCCCTACCCCCCCACCCCACTGGCACAGGCACAGGGACGTGCACACCCGGAGGCTTCCCAACAGTTATCAGGCTTCTCCCCACCCCCTCAGCGTGTGCCCAAGGATTGCACAACCATAACTCTGGCCCTCGGGGCTTGGTTTGGGGACCAGCGCTGCCTTGGGAGGCCACCCTCCCGGGAGCCACTCTGAGTAGTCCCTGGGTCGGGAGGAGGGGCTGGGGGGTTTGGTGCTGGAGACCACGATGATGTGCCTCCTGCCCAGCTCTACCTGCAGTTCAGGGACCCGGAGGTCAAGGGTCAGAGGCAGGGTGGCTAAGCCCCTGGGCCTGTGGCTTTCTTGAGGCAGAGCTGGCTCTTCCTGGGACCACCTCCATCACCCCCTGAATGCCAATCCCTGCCCCCATCTCCTCAGTCCCAGGTCGGAGAAGTGTGGGACAGAGCCTGGTGGGGGCTGGCCGGCTGGTTCTCTCTGTGTCTGGCCAAGTGAGGAGGCCAGGAGCCCAGCACTAGGTTGCAGGCAGAGCAGCCCCACAGCAGGATATCAAGCCTGGGGTGCCTCCCCAGGGCTCTGAGGCCTGGCTGGGGTGGGGAGGGGGAAGGGAGCTGCCTTCAAGCCGGGAAAGCTGAGTCAGGTGGGCTGGCCCTGCCAAGCCCTTCCCAGCTCCCCCCAGGACTCCCCATCCCTGCTGAGTGGGGACAGGGTGGGAAAAGGGAGAGGGGTCCTCTTAGAGGGGCCCAGGTCTGACACCTGCCAAAGGCTGCAACTGTCACTGCGAGCAGAAGCAGAGAGGGTCTGCCCCAGACGGCTGCCCTTCCCTCCCCAGGGTCCCCTGGGACGCCTGCTTCTTCACCTCCAGCCTCAGCCCCTGCCTTCACTCCAGTCTCACACTTGACCAGGTCCCACCTCCGCCCCGATCTCAGGCCCAGGCTGTCCCCAACCCGAGCCCCTGCCCTCCTCTCCCTGATGCCCAGCCCTAACCCAACCCCAGCTGCAGTGCTAGCCCCCGCTTCCCTCACTGCTCCGGCCCAGCGCCTGCTCTGCCCCTGCCTCCACCACTCAGGGACCTGTGGCCGAAGGCCCGGACCCTTGGGTCAACAGCCATGTCCTTTGTGTCAGGCCCCAGCCTGGGTGTGGGGGCCCAGGCTTAAGGCAGCCTCGGTCTCCAGGAGCACGCAGGCCATGGGCTGAGACCTCTGGCCTGTTGCTTTCTGCCCCCAAGTCTTTACTGTCCTGGGAGCTGGCTTTGCCCCGCGCCAGTCTCCCCATCTCCTCCGCCACCCTCACCATCCTCAGCCCAACACCCTGCCCTGAAGCTCTGGCCTGCCCCACAAGTCCTATCTATAAATAACCATTCAGGCCCCACCGATCACAGCCCCACCATGGGCCCAGCCCTCAGCCCGCCGGGGCATGCTCTGAGAAGGCCAATGGCCCCTCGCTGGGTCTCAGGCCAGGAGCTCCAGGGAGGAAACACCAACTTCCCACTGATAGCGGGAGGGAAGACGGTGGGCTGGCGGGCTGGCGGGCAGGCGGGCGGGCGACCGAGGACCGCGGGTTGGGCTGGTAGAGGAGTCCCAGTACTCACAGGGGGGACGAGGGGAAACCCTTCCATTTTGCACGCCTGTAACATCCAGCCGAGCTCCGAGCTGATCGGGTCCCCTGCCTCGGTGGGAGCCAGTGCGGAGCCCCTCGGGATGGGGCGCCCCGTCAGGGGCTGGACGGACTCGGGGCGGGCGCAGGGCACAGGCCTGCCCCTTGAGCTACAGGAGCCCTGGGTGAGCCCCCTCCCTTGACATTGCAGGGCCAGCGCAAGTTCCTGATTTTATCGAAGGCCTGCCGCTGGGAGATAGTCCCCTTGGGGTGACATCACCACCCCAGCCCGTTTGCATAAATCTCTTGCGCTACAGGAAGTCTCTGGCCGGCTGGGGCAGGTGGTGCTCCAGGGCCTGGCCTGGGAGGCCATGGGGGGCCAGGCCCCCTGCCCAGAGGAAGCTGGGACTATGAGGGGCGGCCTTGGGGTTAGGGTGGGGAGGAAGAGTGGGAGGGAGCAAGGCTAGCTCCACCAGCGGGAAGCCTTTGCTGTCCCCAGGCCCTGCCAAGGCTCTCTAACCCCTAACCCACAAACACCTACTTCTCCTGAGACCCCCATGTGGCCAACAATCACTTCCTTGGGGACAGCTGGTAAGGGTGGCCCCTTGGGGCCTCCACTTTCTAGGGTCGGCCTGACTGGCTGGGGGCTCTGATCCAGCAGACTGCCGGGTCTGGCTCTTTTCTGGGCCCTTGGGCCCCTCAACACTCCGGTTCTACCCAGCCTGGGCCTGGGCTCTGGGTCAGGGGCCTCAGCAGAGTGCTGCTTTCCCCTTCCCTCCAAGTCCCTTCACACAGGCTCCCATTCCACCAGAAGGGTTCTTACACCCTCTCCTCCCAGTTTCCTGAGTCCCACTCTTCTTCCCAATCCCTAGGTGCTCTACTCCCAGATCAGATTTCTCAGTTTCCCCGCCTCTTACCAATGCCTTAATATCAATCCAGTCTTCCTAGTTTACAAATTTTCTTGTCTGTCCATCCATTCATCTATTGTCCCATCCATTTGTTTGTTTGTCAATACATCTATCCACCCATCAAGCCAGCCATACATTTATTTGTCCACTAGCTTATCCAACTGTCTATTCATTCATCCATTTATATATTAGTCCATCATCCATCCACCCCATCTGTTTATCTACTTGTCCATCTGGACATCTATGTGTTCATATATCAGCCCATCCGTCTGTTACTCATCCATCCATCGGTCTATATTTCCATCTGTTTGTCCACGTATATCCAGTTCATCCATTGGTCCATTCATCCACTTATCCATCCATTCATCATCCATCTATCCATCCATCCACCCATGCACTCATCTATCCATCCCTCCATCCATCCATCTATGCATCCTGCCAGTACTAACTGAGTTTCAGGTTTTATGCTGAGTATCGGGAAAATAGAAAAGTATTGGACAAGATCCCTGCCTTCAGGGAGCTCCCAACCTAGTCTGGAGGGCAGAAGAGTGAACAGAGACACTGTTTGATCCATTGATGTCTGGTGAGGCCACTTCTCTGGGGAAGAACTTCTTTTTTTATTTTATTTATTTTTCTTATTGGAGGTGCCGGGGATTGAACCTAGGACCTCATGCATGCACTCTACCACTGAGCTATAGCCACTCACCCTAGGGAAGAACTTCTTGAAGATTCAACTTCCTTCCCTGTGTAGTCTAACCCTTCGCTTTATATCCCCTTCCCACTAAGACTAGCTTGCCTCCTTCCTGTCAGTGGAAGACCAGACTCCCCAAGTGCTTCTTCACTTGCAGCAAAGACCCGGGATTCACAGGTCTGGGTTCACCATCAGATCGATTTCACCTACATTCGCTGATTTTTTTGCATCCACACTTGGGATTCTCCAAGATATCCGGGTCACTAGTTCCCTGGACTCCCTAGGAATCTGACCAAAACCCCTCCCCAAGAGGAGGGGAGAGGTGGGTTGATTTGGCATCAGTTCCATGGCTGTCCCCACTTTCCCATCAAGAAGGCCTAGTCCCAGCCGACTGGATGCCTATTGGGGGTGGGTCAACTGCTTGAGATCCAGGTCCCCGCCGATGTGTTCATTCATGCATTCATTCTTGTCTTGGTTTGGTTTGTTTATATGCTTACGTATCTATTCATTCATTCATTTAATCATTAACTTTTTACTGGGGGTCTTCCATGTGCTGGGCCTGGTAAGGGGACACAAACATGAATGTGGCCTGCCCTGGGCCTCTAGGAGCTCACAGAGGGAACAGACATGTAAGCAGACAGTATGGTTCTTCGGGGAGGCAGGGGCGCAAGGGGTACTAGGTGAGTTGGAGAACAGTTAATTAGGTCAGGGCCTCAGGTAGGAAAACATGCAAAGGAAAGAGCATGTCTGGTGGAGGAACCAGCCTGAGTAAAGGCAAGGAGGCGGGAGAGAACAAGGGACAGTGAGCTCCATCCTTGTGCCTGGAAGCAAAGAGCCTTGAGTCTCAAGCCAAGGAGACTGGGCGGCATCGGGGCAACTGTAGAGGCTTCGCTGGTGCTCTTGTCCATGCGTGCGTGCAGGCAGCAGGCCAGGTCCGCTATGTGCTCTGAGGCCTAAGTCTTAAGGGGCCTCAGGAGAAGAAAGAGGTTCCATTGTCCCCAGGCTGGCCAAACCCAAGGGGCCTGGGCAAGGAAGCCCGTAAAAGACCCAGGGCCCCAAATCTCTGGAAATGGGCTGAACTGACTCCCACTTTCTGAGCAGCTCCAGCCTCCTGTGTCCGTTCACACACCAGCAAGTCCTCCCCATCCTTCCTCCCAAAGTGCACCAGAGGCCTCTGCCCGAGACTTTCATCCCAGGGACCCGCTGTTATTCGAAGATTTTGGAATAGCAGGATCCAGATTCTAAGCAATTCCGAGCAGAGCAGGGAAGGTCTGATAAACCACAACCCTGGAGCTAACAGCTCCTTATGAAAGGGGGACATTATTTTCTGAGTGCCCCACACTGTTCTGAGTGCCTCCACCCTTGTGAGCTCATGTAACTAAGACGACACTAAGGCCCCGGAGGTCAGTGACTTGCCCAGGGTCACACTTGTGAGTGGAGAGCTGGGGCAGGAAATCTGCCTTCTGGGGCTCTAGGAAGGGCTGGATTCTAGTGCGAGGGAAGGGGGCAGAAGGAAGAGAAGCCAAGTATGGGGCTAGGGGAAGGCAGTGAGGATTGGTGAGGAAGCGAAAGGAAAAAAAATAGGAGAGAGTCAAGAAGAGTCAAGTCAAAGAAGGGAGTAGACAGACGTGAGACAAGAGACAAGAGGGTGAGGGTGGTGGAAGAGGAGGGCCAAGAAGAGGGAGGAGAGACAGGACAGCCCGTGGCTGGGAAGCGACGGGACCTGAGAGGAGCACGTGCCCAGCCTGCCTCTTCTGCAGCAGAGGAAACAACGGGGACCAGAGACTGTCCCTGACTTGCTGGAGGTCGCCAGGTGCATCATGTTGGGCTGTGGCTCACATCTTTATGGGCAATAAATTGGTTTAAGACGAAGAATCTTAGGTGCTCCAAGGCATGAAAGGTGAAAGAGGTTTTTTTTAATTATTTTATTTTTTGAATATGCAGAGGGTATAAAATCCAAAAGGTACAAAAAAGGAATAGCTGTCCAATTCCCTATCACCTGATTTTTGTGTGTTTTTCTAGAGGCAGTCTAAATAGACAAAAGCATTAGAAGCAGATATATTCTGTTTTAAATTTTACACAGAAGGTAGCACACTAAACATTGTACTTCACTTTGGTTTGGTTGTTTCTTCCCCCCTAAATCCATGCATATGGAGCTGTCTTGTTCTTTTTAATGGCTATATAGTATTCCACTGTTTGGATGGACTGTGATACTTTTAAATCACGAGAGCCTTCATTCATACAAAAGACTGCACAAAACATTTATGTACAATTCAAAGAATAATTATAAAGCTAACACTTACATAACCACCATCCAGGTCAAGAAATAAAATATTGCCAGCACTACAAAAGCATCCCCCAAATGCTTGATTACAACCTGCCCCCCTCTAGAAGTAATACTACCCTAACTTTTTCAGTAATCATTTCCTTGTCTTTTTAAAATAGTTTGCCCAAGTATGTAAACACTTCTAACAATATAGTTTAGTTCTTAAGAGATTTTAATCTTCATACAAAAAGAATCATAGTGTAAACATTCTTTTGGGTCGTGCCTCTTTTTCCCAACTTGTTGCTGTGTGTAGCTGTGGTCCATTTTCATTGCTGCATAGTATTCCATTGTTTAAAAACAATGGAATCATTTAACCAGTCTCTTATTAACGGACATTCAGATTATTTCCAGTCTTTTGCTATTACAATCCTGCAATTGATAAAATTTGCTAATCCACACATATGCAAGTGTATGTCTTAATGCATAAATTCCCCAAAGTTGAAATATTTGGTCAAAGCGCAGTGGGGTTTTTTTTTGGTTTTGTTTTTGTTTGTTTGTTTTTTTTGGTTTTTTTCTTTTGCAGGGAAGCTAGAGGGGAGTGTCCACTGGAACAGCTGGGGGAAGACTGGAGTTCAACGTCATTTCCTGGGCTGGATAGACTGTAACACTGGCTCCAGGTAGCAATTCTCATGATTTCACATTTGCTTTTTTCTAAGAAACAACCTTCAACAGCAAAGGACCAAACATATTTTTCTGCCTTAAATGAAAACAATGTAGGAGAAAGGGCTACTTCTACAGATGCTGGAAGGGAAAGAAACTAAAACGCTATAAATTGTTTCTCTATATTTAATTTTTCAAGGCTATTCTTGACAATTAAGAGACTGATACTGAAGTGAAAATCACCACAACCAAATACAGGCTGAGTCAAAAACATTCACGCATCTCCCTGTAGACACTAATAAATAGTATCAGAAATTACCTAAAATAGAAATTAAAAGCCCTTCGATTATAAGTAATATTGAAAATGACATAGTTCTCTATCTTAACTCATTGGGAAAAAGACCGGATAATTATTTAGATTCTATAATGTAGATGCACAGAAAATTTTTTTAATTAAAAATGTTTTATTTTTTAAATTGAAGTATATGCAGAAATGTTTGACACTGCTTTTGACATCAAAGGTATTTTTAAAAACTGAGATATAAGTGTTGTATCACACTGTATTAGTTTTAAGGGCACTGAATTTTTAATTCTTAAATAGATAGATGGATATAGAGATATTGTCACATTGTCCTGGATAGAAGTGGTAGCACCCCACCCTCCCACTGGCAGCACATGACAGCGCTGTTCCCCACCCCACTGGCTGTGGGCGGCTGTGTAGGGCGGGCCCTACTGAGTGACAGGGAGGTCAGGCAGGCCCGGGATGGCAGAGGGCCTGGTGGCCTTTGTCCCCACTGGGCTGGGTGGCTGAGGCGGTAGGCTGGGTGCTGTTGCATCACAATCGGAAACGTGGGCACCGTGTCCTCGAAGCTGAGTCCACATGGGGCACTCGACCCCACCTCCCACAGAACCCCTCAACCTCAGCCCAAAAGACCTCTGAAAGAAGAGAATGCCCCCCTCCCCACTTTCCCAGCGACCGTTTCCATGGAGTGCGATGGGGCATGTGGGAAATCTCAGGCCTCAGAGCACGAGCTGGGAAAGTTGACCAAAGAGAGCTGAGCCTGTGTACAGAAATGGCCGTCTTGCAACTTCCTCTCATGGTTGAGACACTGGGAGAGGCTCCTAGGGCCCCTCAGAGCTCCCCAAGCTCTGGTCAGAGCACTGTGCTGGCTCTTTGGTGCATTAAGGTATCCAGCAAATAATGTGTTCAGGGCCTTTACGGGCCAGGCGACCAAACAGGCTAAGATCCCTGTCCCCTGGGGCGTGTTCTGGAGCAGAGAAGACAGGGCATGAGCAGAGTAGGTGGGAGCATTACTTGCACGGTAGCAAGAGCTATGGGAAAGGACACTGCCCAACTGGGGAAGGGGGGTGGCAGGCGGGGTGGGGTGGAGGGCAGTCTGCAGTCTGAAGAGGGTGGGCAGGGCAGGCCTCAGAGAAGGCGACATCTGAACAAACCCTGGAAGAGATGGAAAGAGCCAGCTAAGCAGATATCTGGGAGAAGAGCTCCAGGCAGGGGGGACCCGCAAGGACCCCAGTGAGAGCAGAGCCAGCTGGGGGTGGGGGAGGGACAGGTCAGGCGAGTTTTGGGGGGCATTGGGTGGAATTTGGTTTTGGCTCTGGGAGAACAGCAGCACCCTTGCAGCGTTCATTTCCTTAAATCATACCTGAAGCTGGGGCCCTTATCATCCCCGTGGTACCTCAGTTGAGGAAACTGAGGCTCAGAAGTGGCCCATGACTCAGCCAACAGAAGTACAAGTGAGGCTTAAACCCAGGTCTGGAGACCCCAGCTCGCATCCACAGCAGGCACTCACAAGGTGCTGTGAGCCAGGACAAGGGCCAGGACAAAGCCAGGGGAAAGGACCCCACATTGGCTTGAGGCCCTGCAGGCAACCTGCATTACCTCATTCCACCTCCCTCCATCCTGGGAATTTACCATCAGGGCCATTTTACAGACAGGAAACCCAGGTCCGGTTGGCAAGGGGTTGCACCTGAGAACACACAGCTAGGAGCTGGGGTGGGGTGGGAGGTGACTGCCACTCTGAGCAGCCCCAGGACATGTGCTTATGCAGCTGCTCCCAACTCGAGCTTCTCCCATGGGTGTTCCCCTACCTAAAGATCTTCCTTAGCCCTTGTTTGTTCACAGGCTGAAGTCCAAAGCTCTGAGGCCCGTGCTGGGGCCCCCAACACCCGGGAGTCCAGCCAGTCTTTCCACCCTCCCCCACCCCAAGTGGACCAGCCCCACCCCCACCTCCAGCCAGAAGACACTACTCAACATTCCCAGAACCTCTTTCTCAATCTCCCACGGCCTTTGCTCACAGTCTCACCCTCTTCCACTCCTTTAGGCCTCTGTCTTTCGAGGGCTCGCCTACTCCTGGCTGTGCCCCAGATACTCCCTTCACCTCCATCTCTCCCCAGCTCTGCAGAGTCTCTCCCCGCACTCAGCGCCAGCTCCTGCCCCCTGCTCCCCAGTCCCCATGGCCAGGGGCACAGATCTCAGAGCAGCCCAACCTCCTTCATGCCCTGATTCCCGGTCCCCCCTCCACACCCTTGTCTCCTGCTGACCAGGGCTGCAGACAGGGACCTCACCTCCTGGCCACATCACTCAGCCTCCGGCACCTCAAACCCACCGCCACCCACAGCGACTTCCTCCTGCTCACCACGGGCAGCACCCCCCCTCCCGCTTGCTCACTGAGGACAGGAGCCACTTCCCCCCCCAACCAGGTCCCCTATTCTATGGAGCCCCCAACACCATTCTCTTCTGTCGAGGTACCCCTGGATCCTTCCCCACAATTGGCTGGCTATGCGGCCTATGGGCGAGCTCCTTCCCCTCCCCGAAGTTCAGACGCCTCAGTTCTACCAAGGGGTCCACAAGCCCCAGCCCCCACATTGCAGAGGACAGAAAGGCGATCTGGGTAAGCCTTCCCCTTGTATACAGTAGGGTTTCACTGAAGTGCACGTTTCCCTCACTGGCCTCCTTACTGAGCCTTGTGGAGGTTAGGAGGAAAGCTCCAGAGACCTTGATCTGAATCTCGTCCCTGCCCTTTATTCACTGTGTGGCTGAGGAAAAGTCACTCCTCAGAGCCTCTGTGTCCTCATCTGTAAAACGGGGGCAATAACAGGATGGACCACACAGGGCTGTGAGAATTAGAGATGTGTGATGCTCCTGTGTGATGCACACACCAGGCATCTCTTGAGGGGAGGAAGGCTCAGCCCTGTCCCCGAGGCCTCAGGATCTCTGTGGCCCTCAGCTCCTCGGAGCTCCTAGCCTCTCTGAAGCCTTGTTGGAAAAACTGAGAAATGTGAGGAGCTGGGAAGCTGGAGGAGGAGAGTCTTGAGACAGCAGCAGTCTGCCCTCCCCTGCCCTGCCCGTACTTCTTTCCCCCTCCCTGCCTGAGCTCTTGGGAGAGGAAAGCCAGACGGGGAAAGGGGGCCCAGGGCTGGAGTAGGGACCCGGTGATAGAATGAGGGGGCCTTTGCAAAGAAGGAAAAATAATCACTCCTGAGCCCCTGTGATGGGCCCAGCACACTGGATCTACGGGACAGGACTTGTCTCAGTTTTACAGATGAGAAGTGGGGCTCAGAGCAGATCTTTATACCGCTCCAGGTGGCAAAGTAGAAAGGGCCAGAATGAGGGTTGGACCAGACTTATCTTATTCCAAAGCCTGTGCTCTCAGCCCAAATGCTGCCCTCATGTGTGTTCCAGAAGCCTGGGGGTCAGGGGTCTCTGGGCATAGGAGGGGAGTGAGAGGGCCCTGAGGGGGCCAGTGAGTTAGGGGCTGACTTGATTTCCAGGCTGTGGGCCCCAAAGCCAGTTTGAGGCTACCAAGGGATCCAGGGCGGGCATGAGGGGCAGCCCAGGGTGCGGGAGCAGGAGGCACGGACTCGGAAGGAGTTAACTGCATAAAGGGCCCGAGTGAATCAGAGGCTCCACAGGCCGAGATGGAAATTCCCTGTGCATGGCGTGTGGTCACCCAGAAAAGGGAAACGGTGCTTTTTGGAGCAGAGGACGGCGGGGGCTCGAGCCCCAGAGCAGATGCCTGCCTGGGTGGGGCTGACGAGGACGCTGAGAAGGCCGGCCTCCGGGTATGCTCAGGCCCTGGGTGGGAGGAGGGAGGTGATGAGCCATCAGGCCAGGCCAGGCCTGGTCATGCTATGATGTGTCCATGGGCCCTGACATATGTGTAGGAGTTCACCGGCACCAGAGGAAGGAACGGCATTCAGACCGTGGGAACTGCTGGAGCCAAGGCACAGGGGTGTGACTCAGCATGGAGCACTCACTCGTCCCCCCTGCTTTTGTCAGGGAACTCTTTCCTGCCCCAACCCAAGTGGCATGGCTCCTCACACCAGGAAGCACTCATCACATTTTCCTGGTGTTCCACAGCCTCAGTTTTCCTCTCAGAGCGCTCAGGGTTTTGTAACTCACCTGCCTTCTCCACAGGTCTGTCCTAATTCTAGAGACGGCTTACACCCTGCCCTGGCATGGAGTAGGCACTCTGTGTTTGTGGAATGACAATTCATAGAAGAGGATTCTGAGTCTCAGAGAAGTCAGGTGAAACACAGTCAGCCAGCTGGCTGTGGGTGAGTGGGCTCTGGCGGTAGCTGTGCCTCAGCTGGACTTGGTGAGGGGCAAGGAATGGGGCAGGCAGAGACTTCCCTTGGGGCAGGGAAGGGGACTCTGGGCACTGACAACCCCACCTGGCAATTCTGCTGTCCAAGGCCCCCTTGAGCTTCAGGCCAGCCCAGCTCCTGCCTTGTCACAGTGCTGGGAAACTTCTGTCCTCCCGGGGAGGGAGACTGAGGTACAAGCTGGAGCAAGGGGCAGGCAGATGGAGGGAGAAGGGGACTGGGTATCAGGAAATCCTGACTCTCAGTCCAGACACTTACTAGCTGTGCCACCTTGGCCGTGTGAGTTCGCCTCCGAGCCCCAGTGTCCGCTCTGTGATGGATGTAACGGGATGGGCTTGTTCTGGGGACAGAACGAACAGGCTGATGTGAACCATATCCCTCTGCGCCAACGTGAGGGATTTCGTCTATTATTAGAAATGAGTATTAATTATGCTGTCTGTCGTCTCTCCGTGGAACAGTCCCCTGCTACAGCACCATCCTGCCTGCCAGTTCTAAAGCAGCCTGTGACATGGTCTCGAGCCCAGTGTCCACCTGTCCCAGCTGAATTCTGTACTGCACGAGGGCCTGTGACCCACACCAGCCTGATAAGCAGGCCAAAACCCAACTGGAGGAGATTGATGGCCGGGGCCTCCTGCCCAGAAACAGGACCCCTGAAGCCCCCAGGTGCCCTGAGTTCCACCACAGCACCCCAGATTCCTTGCCCCACCAAGAAGGTCAAGTCTCCCCCCTCAGGCAGGGAGATGGGCAGCGTCATGGTGGCCACTGGTGTTGGAGCTTTTCCAAGCACGAAGGGGAACTGAGAACTGTGGGAATGTGCCTTGAGTAGGCCAGAGTGGGCTAGGCCCAGGTGGGAGGGGGCTGCTCCACGGAGCCCAGACTGATGGGGCTCTGGGGGTGAGGAATAGAGGGAGACCCCCCCCAGGCAAGCAGCTGTGGGGCAGGGGTCACTGTGAAGCGCTGGCAGGCTGTCCAGAGAGAGCTGGCTGAGCAGTGGGAGGTTGGGGAGCTGTGTGGGGAAGGAAAGAGGAAGCCATGAGGAGAGGGGGGATGGGGCGGCCGGGGATGGGGTGGGAGTGGGGGCTGGGGGCCTGGAGCCACTTTGGCCGCAGCCACTTCACTTCTCCCGGTTTCGGTTTGTAAATAGCTGCTGGCTCCGTGCAGGCGGGATAGGCCCTGCCCCTTCTGCGGCCTGAGTCCTGGCAGGCCCAGGCCCAGGCAGCTGTGATGCTTGGACCCTGGATCTGAGGACCCCGACAGGCGTCAGGGCTGACCCGGCTCTGGCCTGGGTGGGCAGGTTCTGGTGGGCTTGGTTCTGGGCAGCCCCAACCTGTGGTCACTGAGGTAGTGCAGCTGGGGCAGAACTTGATGACTTGGCCACATTGGGCTTATTTATAACTGGGCCTCCGTGGGCAGGAGCAGCTGCTGGGCTGCCAACTCAGCACTTGGGCCGACCCGAGGCGCCAAGGCAGGGGCAGGATGGCGGGGGCCGGGCTGGGCCTCAGGGTCTTGGGGTCCCCGAAGCCTCTCTGACCGGAACCACTCCTTGTGCTGTGACAGGCAGGCCTTGAGAACTAGGCGGAGCTACTTGTGAGGTGGGCATCTCAGGACCTCCTGGGCCGAAGGGGTGGCTGAACCCAGTCAGTGGACTGGTCAGCTCCCGGGGGCTCAGGCCTGGGCCTTCCTGCAAAGAAACTCTTCCCCCAGAGGTCAGACGCCGTCAGCAAACTCAACGAGAAGCAAAGTCATCTCCCTCCCCTTCTTGCAATAGCAGCTTAGAAACAAAACAGGTTCGGGAAGACGGCAATGCGGAATCCTGAGCCTGGCCCTGATGCTGGACCTCCAGGCACTCGACACATGGAGAAAGGTTCAGGTCCCTCATGAGGCACCCCCATCACACCACATGGGCACCCATCTCCTTGGTGGATGGAAGGGCAGGGCTGGCCCTGCCCCCACCCCCCAAATACCCATTTGTCTTTCTTCTGAGGAAGAATGTGAAGTGGGTCTCAGACACTTTCCTAAAGTTTGCATGAATAAGGAGGACCCTCAAATCTTCCTCCCGCTTTGGATCCAGATCAGCCTTGTCACCTACCACTCTCGAGTCTGTCCCATCAACACCTTAAGTTCCAAACTTGGTCCTGGCCTTCCCACCTCCATACCTGGCCCTAGTCTAGTCCTCCCACCTGGCATGCCTCTTCCTTCCCCCCAGTCTCTCCAGGTCCCCTCTCTGTCAAGGCCTATGCCAAGCCCCTCTCTGAGGGTCCCAGCCTCAGCGCAGACACTGTTCCCAAAACTAAGGGATGGAAAATTAAGGGATGTCAGAACTGCGGCAGAAATGGGTGAGGGATTTTAGATCATGGGTGCCTCGATCACCACACAAAAGAGGAAGCCAAGGCCTGGAGTGGGTCAGGGATGGCCAAAGGGCCTCAGTGAACAAAGGACAGAGCCGAGACCAGAGCTCTCACCCCTGCACCTCCCGGCCTGGACCACCTGCTCGGTCTTGAGTGACAGCCCTGCCTGGCCCTTTCCTCTTGGCGGGAGCTGCTGGGGATAGGAGTGATGGAGGCCTGGTATGGGGGTTAACTCAGGCCATCCATTGCCCGGGTTGGGGCCTGGGGTGGTGGGCCTGCTTAGGCCCCTCTGGGCAGGGTCAGGGCACCCAGCCCAGAGCCACCCAGGCTGCAGCTGCCCCGGTTTCCACATCGGCAGTAGCAAGTCCGGCGCCTGAGAAAACAGGAAGCGCCCAGTCACCACAGGAAGCATGTGTGCGCAGCCTCCCCACCCCCGGCCCATTGCAAAACGCCAACAGCCCCATTACCACAGGCACCGCACAGCGGTGGCCAGGAACGCTCCGGCCTCCAGGCCTGCCAAGGGCCGGACAGACTGACTCCAGGCCTCACCTGCCTGAGCCAGGCCACACGGTGAGGTCCAGCTGCAGCCTTGAGGTGCCCGCAGTCTCCTGAGCTTTGGGCCTCACGCCTTCCTCTGGGTCCTCAGCCCTATCCCCAGACCAGCCTGAGCCAGGCCTGCTTTGGCCATCATTAAATCAGAATATGGGGTCATGGGTCACAGAGAAGCCATTTCTCTGACCTGGTAGTTAGCAATCGAGGACTGTGTGCAGCCTTCAGACCTGACAGGACTCCATCCCTAAGCCTCATCAAGGCCGTTGACCCAGAGCCCGCCACCCCCACAACCCCAGGGAGCTGTCTGCTGTCAAGTCCACACCTGCCACACCCTCTGCCCAGCCCCAGCCCTTCCCAACCGAGACTTTGCCGGCCCCTGGGGTCCTGTCCAGGCTAGTTTTTGGGAGGTTAGGGCCCCTCCTTACCGACCCCCACCCCCGCCTGTCCCGACTTACCTCTTATTTCTGGCCACCCTAGGCTCAACATTTGGAAGAAGATGGGAATCCAGCAAGGCCAAGGTCCTGTGCCTGGGAGGCCTGTGCTCCTCCAGCCCCGGGGACAGCAAGGAAAAGAGAAGAGAGCAGAGCATTTCATGGCTATAATAAATCAAAGGGGGAAGTCAGAGCAGGAGAAATAAGAAACTTCCCTACCCTGGGCACAGGGACCTGCCAGGCGGCAGCCCCCGGTGCCCCACAGCCTTCCCCCCTCCCTCCTGCATCCCTGGCCAGGGCCCACATCTGATGCCTTCTCCCCAGGCCTGGGCACCCCACCTTCCCAGAGACCTCCCGGGCATCCAACAGCCCTTCTTGTTGTGCACCCTGGAGGCCAGGCACCTCTCACCTGTGGGCCTCAGTTTCCTCCGAATGGGCATGGAAATCCCCCAAGTCCTGTGCTCATCTGGGGAGGTGAGGGACCAGGCTGCCAAGCAGAGAGGGCTGAAGATGGGCAGTGCCCCTCCAGACAAGGCCCCACAGAGCATGAAGAGATGAGTGAGACATCCTGAGAATTCCCAGTGGGACAGTTGGGCTGGGCTGGGCAAATGTCTGTAAGAGGAGACGGGAGGGCCAAACCAAGAGGCAGGAGTGCAGAGCAGAGGTGGGAAGAGACCTAGACTGTGAGAACAGGCAGGGCCTTGACCTCAACTCTGTCCCTGCACTTTCTCAAACCAGACCCAGGGGCCCAGGGCCTGGGGTCCACGGTGAAGGCACCAGATGTACACAACCGCTCAAGGCACATGGCATGTCTTCCTGGACTATCCACTCAGGTAGAGATTGAGAGTGGAAAGTTAAAGGTGGGAGGGGAAGCCCACATATTAAAAAGGACACAAATCTGTATGCATTTTTAACATAAAAGTATTTTGGCTAGATTTGGCCCCATTATGAGCCATGCTCCCAGATTCTCAGCAGACCTTCCTCCAGCTCCCTCGCTGTTGGGGCGCATTGGTAGAGACACAGGGTGCCTCCCCTTAAATGCTCCTGAGATGGTGAGCTACTCCCCTACTCCAGGAGTCTCTGCCGTCACTGCAGGCAAACTCTCCTGGGCCCCAGCCCCACTCTCCTGGTGATGTCTCCTGGGTGGCTGCCAGCCTGGAGCCAGAGGCTCTTAGGAGGCAGTGGTAGGGACTGGGATCCCTCTCAGCCTCTGAGATCACGCTGCTTCACTCACAACCTTGTCAGGCAGATAAGATAAGAAAGAGGCTGTAACTGTTGGAGTCCAGGCTGCAGAGCCAGACACATCAGAGAACGTGCATTGTGTGACCCCGGGCAAGTGATCTCACCTCTGTGAACCTAGGTTTCCCCATTTGGAAAATGCCTAACTCGAAAGTCTGCAATGAGGGACAAAGGAGGTCATGGAATGGAGCCTCGGGTGATCTCGTGGCCGGCATCACACAGCGACCGCCACTCTCATCTCCTCCCAGAAGCCCCCACTTCCTCCCTCCTTTCCCTTTCACCTGCCTGAGAACCTCTGCTCCCTGCTCTTCTCTGCACCCCTGGGGCCCCTGACCTCACTCTGACCTGTCCTGATCTGGGAGAGTGCTGGAGCTGGGGTTCCCAGCCCTACCCCCAAGGCGCTCCATCTTTGAGACAGAGGCCTCGGAGGCCTAAACTCTTGCCCTGGCAGGACTCCCCACTTATGTGCGCACACCTCCTGCCATCCCAGGACACCCCCTTCCATCCTCAGACGGCCACACTGTTTTAACAACTGGTGGCATTCACCAGGCACCCTACATACACATCTTGTGGTCCTCACAGCTGCAGGTATTCTTATCCCCATTTCACAGTTGAGGAAACTGAGACTCAGAAGATTGAGGTTAGCTGGCTAGAGAGGGGCAGCCTGAGCTAAGAACTCACTTCTTTTGTCCACCAACCCTGTAGAAATCCTATGCAAACCAGGAGGCAAAGCAGCACCTCTTAGGAAGAAGACTGAGCCTTTTAGGGGTTGCTGCTGCCCAGGCTCATGGTCATGACCTATTCCCAGCTCCCCTGCTCTGTCCCCATCATCAGAATCTCCTGCTTCAACCTGGCCCAGGATATCAGAGTTGGAAAAATTCCAGCTTCAGGTGCCCATGAGAGCAGAAAGATTATAAAATCCAGAAAGGTGAGCAGACTCCTGAATCAAATGCTCCCCTTGGCTCCCAGCCCTGGGCATGAGCACCCAGCAATGGTACTTAACTCCCTGGGAAGACAGGCCCAAGGGGGCAGTGTTCCCTGGTGGTGAGAATTGGGGTATTGGTGCCAGACATTCCTGGGTTTATATATCAACTTTGCAACTGATAGGCCACCCCCTGGGTAGGTGACTTAACCCTAATATGGAAAGAGAAATGCCTCTCCTGACCTGGAGATTTCACAGAAGGGAAATTTATCTCTAAAAGCCAAGAGCTCAGCCCTTCATGCATGGACTCATTTAAGCCTCATAACAGCTCTGACAAGTAGGTACTATTATTACTCCCATTTTACAGATGAGGAAATCAAGGTGAAGGAATCTTCCCGAGGTCACATGGCCTTGCAGGGATTTGAACCCCAACCCATGTGACTCTAAGTCAGATGCACTTCCACTGCCCCAGCCGGGATCCCTTCCTTTTCTCCTAGCAATTTTTCTCTACCACCAGCAGCCCACAGGGTAAGAGGCCCTGAGTGGCAAGGTAAGCCATGACTGGCTGAGACTGCAAGGCTTGGCCCTGCCTCGCTGTGGTGCAGTCCTCAAATGCCTGACTGCTCTTGCTCTTGGGTCGGGCTGGCAGAGGGCTGCCTGGGCATGCAAGGGGTTGGCCCCAGCTGCAGCAGGGACTCCTCTTGGCCCCTGCTGTCCTGTCTTGGGCCTACCATGCGACTATGTTGAGGCCTCACCCTCTCCTGCAGGATGGGTGTAAGCCCTTCCAGGGTGCCTGCAGGGGAGGGCCACGAAACCAAGAAGCTTGTCCTTCTCACTTGCTAGGGCCCCTTCCAAGGACCTGGGAACGCCTCAGCAAATTTGTATTTGTGGTTTTGTAATCTTTTTCTTAAAGAAGGCCTGCAGATTGGAGAAGCATCAGGCTCCACAAAACCTAGCTCGTCCCGCAGCTTGGGGGCAGTGGGAAGGGTTCCACTCCCCCTCCCCACTTGCTTCCTGCTGCCTGGCTCTGAAACTTAAGGCAAGTCGCCCACTTTCCCATCTATACAATGGGGATGAAGCCTGGAGAGTCTGCGGGTACAGCTAGGGTACTGAGAAGAGCTCAGGGTATCCGTCCTTTACAAAAGGCCCAGATCCACACAGGGATTTTACCAGCCTGCACCAGTTCCATCACCAACAGCCCTGTGGAGTAACTGGAGACCCCTACCCCCATTTTCCAGCTGAGATGACCGAGGTTTGGACCGAGCAGGCTGGAGCCCCATCCCCCACTGCTCCCTGGGATCTCCTTCCAGGATGCCAGGCCCCACGCTGGGGGCAGGAGGCCGCCGGCCGACTGTGGCTCTAGGGGTTGGGACCAGAGGGTGCGGGGGCGGGCTCGGCGGAGGCTGGGGAGGGGAGGCCTCGTCCCGCACTGTCTCACCACAGGATCGACCTCGG